CAGCTTTCTGTGGGTCAGCAGCAGCTCTGTCTGTCTGTCTGTCTGTCTGTCTGTCTGTCTGTCTGTCTGTCTGTCTGTCAGTCAGTCCCTCCTCCTCCACACAGACAGCAGACACAGTGACCCCAAGAAACTGCTGTTTTCTTTCTATTTCTTTGTTAAGATGTTAGAAATATGTTTAGGATGTTTTGCGCTTTCTGGTCGTGGTTGATCTGTTCTTTAAGTTCCTGGCAGCAGTGACGGTCGGTGGGGACTCGCTGATATCGACCTGCAGCGTTCACACTCTTCAGGCTGCTTTTAGTGTCTCCAGTTTCCTCCGGGCCGTCTCATCTCTCTGTGGATGATCCGCCGTTAATGCCGCTAATTAAATTAATGCATTAGCTGCTCTGAACACACACACACACACACTCTAAGTGATTATTTTTAATGGGCTCTGTAATGAAACCACCTCAGAGGAGCACCCGAGCAGAAAAGATGGTTCCTGTCGTGAGAAAAGAGTTCGGCTCGTCCCAAACCGCTGCTCCTGTTTCATTTGGAAATGACCGTTTTAATGAGCGACTCGCTGCCAGAGCCGGCCCCATCCTGCACGAGGACCCGGCCCGATTCTGGACCGCAGCCGAGACCATCCTGGACGCCAGACTTTTAGAGCAGAGAGGAGGATTTGCATATTTGGAGAGGCTTTTCCCAAAACTTAGTCTGACAGGAAGATGAAGAGCAGCAGGAAGCCGCAGCCGGAGTTCAGACACACCCTGGACCCGTCTCACCCTGCACTACTGCCCCCCTGCACTACTGCCCCCTGCACTACTGCCCCCCGGCCCTGCACTACTGCCCCCCGGCACTAATGCCCCCTGGCCCTGCACAGAGATTGATCAGGGACAGAATGAGATAAAGAGTAAAATTTATGAGGTAAAATGTCATTTTGGTAAAAACCTGGCAGCAGTTTTATTTCACATTTTATCGTATTAATACAAGTTTTTACCTTTTAAAAGAAATAGAAAGTACAATATGAATCTGTGTAATTTACAGTCCATAATATAAAACAACTCCTTTACAACGTGTAGAAATGAAGCTATAACAATGTTTTACTGTTACAGAAACTTTAACCTGTTTACCGTCTTTTCTGTGGTTTTTCACCATAAACTCTACAGACATTTTTTACAGTGTATGTTTGGTCGGGTACCAGCTGAAACTGTTGTTTATTTGTTCTTGTTGTTATATTTGCGTTCCAGTGCCCTGTGCAGTTTGTACACATTCACACGTTTCTGATTCTCCTGATTTACAGCCGTCAGTAGCTGTCGGCTCTTCCTGCCAGTAGAGCTCACAGATTGAGTCACAGCAACGCTCAGAGACACTTTATCAGCTGATCTGGAGTCAGAGACACGGTGGAGGATAAAAACAGACTCTTACAGGAGCAACAACAACAGCAACGGTTGCACAGACTCTGAGTTGAGCTCCAGGAGCGGACCCAGAGGATCCAGGGAGCAGATGTGGTCCAGAGCTTTAATGTCCGACGGCTCGTTGCTGCAGGTTTTAAATAAAGCTTCAGGTTCGGTCTAAAGCTGCAGACTGACTCTCAGGTGTTTCCTGTTGGCGCCGCAGTAAACGTTGTGAGCACGATGCCTGATTTAATATTTGTTACAATACAAATTTAAATATCAAATTTTTTTTTAAATTCATTCATCAACGAATAAATAATAATTTGTATTTTAATCACTTGTTCAACAGTAAAATACTGCTGTGCTTTTATTTTGAAATCTTTAGTCTGTTCAGGTCCTGTTGGATCAGAGTCTCCTTGGTTCCTCCTCCTCCTCCTCCTCCTCTTCCTCCTCTTCCTCCTTCTCCTCTTTGTGACGACTCAGCTGAAACTGACTGAGGATCAGTTTATTCGCTGCTTCGTCTTCAGCAGCAGAAATGAAATGATTGATCACAGCCGGCTTAGAATATCAACGACCGATTAATACACACACACACAAACACAGTAACACACANNAGAGGAGGTGCGTGTGTGTGTGTGTTCATGTTCATATGCACAGGAAAACACACATACACACACACTCTGCGGGTCTCTGGGTCTCAGGGATGGGAAAGCAGTGGTGTGTACTGCCCACAAACCGTGAAATTGTGTGGCTGAGTTCTGCCTGTCAGGCTGAGGGACGGGAGAGTGGAGCCTGTCCCTCTCTTTCTGAATCCCCTACCTCACACACACACACACACACACACACACACTCTCAGCTGCAGGATGAAGAGATCCTTTTATTTGAAGACGAGGTGAAAGATAAAAACGCCACAGAGAGTCTGAGCTCATTTCTCCCTCGGCATTCTGGGAGTTGAGATCAGCTGTCGTCAGCAGAACGACGACACTTTGATCCACTGAACTCATAAAATAATGTTCTAACCTGGTGACAGCAACAATGTTCAGCCCCGACTTTAAGTTTTTATTATTAATTATTAATGATCAGCTGTTCTCTACACAGAGTCACATGGTGTCTCTCTCCCTCTGTCTGTGTTGTATCGCAGCCTCTCTGTGGTTTGTTTCCATAGCCGGTCTGCTCCGACTGAAACTGCT